TGAAGAATTCCATTATTATACATTTCGTTTACAGGTGAAACAAGTAAACAGTTAAAGTGAAAAAAAATGATCAACTAACCCAGATGTTCGTGCATATATAAGAAGAAAGGTGTGGAAATTTCAGAATTATTATTTCAGGTTAAAATTGAAAATGCAGTGAATAACAAAATGACAGTACGTAACATAGAACAGAGATTAATTAGTGGATTAAGAGAAAGAAAGTAATTAAATAATAACTGTTTTATCCAGAAACTAAACTAGGTATAATAGCCATTGAAAAGACACTCTGTTATTATATTATAACCACCATAGTAAAAAAGTCGAATTGACGAGGTTGTCAAAAAGGTCGAAAGAAACTCATGTTGCTTAGTAATTTGCCGTTTTTCTTCATTCTATGAATTCTAGATGTTGCGTAGGGCTTCAACTGTTGAATAATCAATAACAATGGTGTTACTTTTTACGAAGTAGGGTTTGTAGTCTCATGCAGAACTTTCCCCTTTTCCAGGCTTACCACAGGCCAGTAAAGGTATAGGAGTGTAATGACCGGAGATCGGACCCGGATCGCGTGCGAGTATTCTACCATTGAACCACCGATACTTCTTAGCTCCATGGGATAAGATCATATGTGGTATCATTTAGCAAGAGCACACATAATTTTCAGTGTTATGACTACTTTGAATTGACGGTTGAAAGGTCTCATAGAGATAAACCGACAATCAATACCATCAGAGGGAGGGGAGTAGAAGGTGACAGTTCATAATAGCGCCATCTGTCAAAGACTTTTAAAGCAATCATCCATGGATATCAGTTTTGGCAAATGAATTTGTTAGCTTACACTGCTGGGAAGCCAATCCCTAAAAGATTATACAGGCATCTGACGTACAGGGCATTTAGTTGTATCCATTTATACACTTCAGTAGATTGGTATATGCTTTCCAATAAACTGTTGCAATTTATTGTTGACAAAGTAAAGTAAGTAGACATATCACGCACACATAGGAACACGGTTCAGTCTATATAATGACCTGCAATTATCATTGCAGCACTGTTTCAGACAAACTCAAGAAAAACTGACCGCAACAGAGTTGCACAATTGAATAATAATCCTATCATAATGACTCAATCATTACGTCATTAAATTAACAACGTGTAAGCTAATCATTTTAATTATGCTCAAGTATCTGGGTTAATATCAATGCTATAAAAAACCAAGTCACATGTAGCAAAGTTGTTATAAATGATTCACAGATAGAAATGTGCCTGCTCCAATCGGTAGGCCACAAGCATTTTTGTTCAAACCCCAATATCAATTCTGGTTCTGATTTCAAATTTATGTTATTACTTCAAATTTATTCCATAGGATATATTAAATTTCCCGTTGTTTATTTATAATGGACGAGAATATATTGGTTTCTGTCAAGATATAAACATCTGGTACGAATGTTCTGATGATGATTATAATATCTCTTGAAACAAGGATTCGAAATATCTGTAGTCCTCAGTCAGTAGATACAGCGATCACTCTTTTAAGGAAGATACTGCTTGAATATAGCTACCTCCACGATTTGTAAATAAACACATAAAACCCAAAACTAACAAAGAATGCCCCATATCTGTGTTGACACCCTAAAGAAGAGAATACCAAACTCTCTGAAAGGAACATTCTCCGCTGGTACATTAAGAATGGTATTCTCCTGCCACCCAATGTTCTTCGCTGAACTGTTTGTTCTTATTCACCTGTCGAAAACACATATACCCTGGTTACGATAACCACAGAATGAAAACACTAATCAGAGCTTTCATTAAGTACTAATATGAAATACAGAAAACAAATTCTTAATATGTATAAAGTATTGTCACATTTCGTAAGGTTAGATGGAACAAATTAAAATGGACCAATTTAGAGCGCAAATTAATGATCACTAATACAGGAGAAAATATTTAAAACTTAACCATCGTTTACCTATACACGGCCGATTTGCTTATCAGCCTACCTATTCGGAATGAATCCAATCTCAGAAAGTTAGTCACATCTCAGATTGTTCAGAGTAATATTTTGAATATAGACTGATGGTTTAATTGACTTATCATCATTGTACATTCTCTCTGATGCTAAGTGGTTGAAAATAATCCGTAACAGTTATCAAAGAACTCGTACATCTAACCTTAAAAAACGGGTACTAAATGACAACGGAAGTGATTGCCTGACTGTCTGACTAACTTCAACCCAAACGATTTAGATTTTTTGAAAACATTATAAAAGAAGTCAGTTTGTTACAGATTTTCCTGCACGAAGATGGAAATCATTAAACAACTCTGAGAGGAGTTATCGCACATTTCTGAAGATTAAAAGTAAATTATTGTGAAAAAAACACACATGAAAAGAACTATAAACTAAATGGTTCTATAGTTTGAGATTTTAGAGCTCACTGAATTAGTCGAATAATGCTTGAATAACATAATGCCTATAAGGCAGTTCTCATTACAGATTAACATAAACCAGAAATATACTGGAAAGCATTTATCTGGTGATGGAATCCGGTAAAAGGATTTCATGCGATGTGTGAAACACATGAGTCAGATAGATGCGCACCTTAGAGTAAGCATCATTTTACTTAATGATAGGCAAATGCACATCAAGATATACACAACATATACCTCTGACATTCTGTTACTAAGCACCAGTAATAACGACAATTTACGTGAAAATTTGGAGCCTAGTATTTAATAGTTCGTGATTATACAAGTAATTAAGTGAATAAACTAATTCTTTAAATAAATCATCTACGTCAACATCACAGTTGATTCCTTACAGTGGAATTCAAGGATTTATTGAATAATTTCACTTTTGTATTAATATTAAAGATAGACACATTTCCAGCTTCAGTTTACATAAATAAAATCAATCGTAATTTACAGAATACACAGAAGTGATGCCAGCGCTCACTAGTGGAAGATACGAGTAATAAACAAATTCAGAGTGGTTACTTCTTGATCAATAGTTTCCTAGTTGATTTCTATTAGTAATGAAACTTATCATGAAATCATTTGACACTTCAGATATTCTGTTTTTAGTTTAAAAGTTGAAATGAATGAATACCACAAATGGATATTGATGGATATTGTACTAATGAGACGTACTACATAGATAAATGATGGCTAAGACCTCAGCCTCTAATCCAGCACAAGTTAAGCGACAAAAACAAAAGGAATTGTCAGTAAACTTATCTTTTTTAAATAGACAAAACACCATCCTTAGAAAATATATTCAAAGTACAAAAGTAATGATGAGTATTGAAATAGTAAAACAAAGATGAGAAAACAACTTTCGAAAAAAGTAAGTCTATTTACTCTTTAACAAGGACGATTTTGTAACCATTGCTTGTTTTAGTTAATTGTTAGCACAATCCAAATGGGGATAGCGTTAGTAGGGGCGCATGTACACCCAGATGATTAGTCTCAAATAGAAAAAAGAACATCCCTGATTACATTTCTAGCCACTAGCAGCTAAGAAACATTATAGTTAAATAAAGTTTAAAACCAGCATGAAACTACATACTACTGACTAATTGAAGTGAGTGGTTGTAGATCATTCACCACAATCACTCAGTGGTGTTTGCTAGCCAGATCGAAGTGGTTAGATAATCAGGCAAGATAGTAATAGTACTGTGAATATTTTATCATCTTTCCTTTCATAGCAATGGTGATTATTGTGCAGTCTAATCTGTCAAAGATAGAGTATTACTTGACAGCAGATAACATTCAGTTTCTTCATAGGTGTCTAACTCTTCTGTTACACCAATAATGCCAATTGCTTTTAAAACTAAAATATATATCGTTAAAGTTATACAAACATATTTCTCATAATCATAGGAATTTCTAAATTTATATGATAGCATAAACCAGTCAGGCTGACTGCTGAGGGTAGACAGATAGATTCATAATTATTTCATTGTTATTACTGTTGCTTTAATCATTTTCTCTAGAGATTATTAACAACTAGGTAAGAAGAATTTTGTGAACTTAAACTAAAATCAATTTAAACAAAAGGAAACGACTACTATTTCAAAGTATTAAAAGGAAATTCAAATCGTAAATATTTTATTTTATTTAAATTTTGGAATATGATCTTTGAAAGTCACTTTATTACCTCATTAAAATCTAAATATAGAATGAACAGAAATAGTAAGGATACGTGTGTTGAGATAACTTAGTCAATATCTTCATTTTAAAATAGGTATACCACATAAATTATTTATAATAGTTGTTTACATACAATGACAAGTTTTTTGTTTCTTAATTTTGGTAATATTTCAAGCAACATTACTGCCTGTGATCACTGTTGGAATCGTTTCTTAATTCTATATTAATGTTACTTTCATTGTGTGCAGTTCAAATTACAGAGTATTTTACCAAAATGTATTAGTGAATACAATTCAGTAAAAGAAATCATTTTGTACGAATGAATGCATATATGAATGTGGACTGCTTTCCTTATTTGTCGGTAGAATGCAATATCATTTAAGGTGTTTCCGATTAACAGTTAACCATCCTATAAATATCTTTTTCTGTGGCTTATCCACTGAATTGAGAATTTCGAAAAACCTGTCATATCCTCAATATAATTGATTTAAACAGTTAACTATATAAGTCTTCTTAATTTAATTTCGGTATTTTCGCTGTCTGTCGACAAATAACACACTCTACAACTGATATATTTATATGTAGGTGATTAAATTTGTATGAAGAATGTTCTAAATCAAAACACAGAAATAGTTATCTACACCGATTTAACAAGGTGTTCAAATCTGATAATTGTGAGCTTCAGTATGATAAGAAGAGGGAGTTAATTATGATTGAATATCACATAAATATAGACTATAAATTCCAGTATTCTAAAGAGTCGTCGTTCATTATAAAATAAACAATTTTTAAACTGATTTTCCCTTAATGAAATGAGTAAAACAAACAAAGCGTAAATATGAAAAGAAATAACTCACTTGTGATTAAATTAATTGTACAGCATAATATACCAACAAATAATATGAAATAAGATAGTAGGTTGTGAAATGTTAGGAAATTTCGATTGTGTGGTTTAATCCACATAATTCAAAGATTTCAATTCACTCTCAAAGATGGTTATATTGCGTAACCAACTTTGATTAGGTAGTGTTTCCAGAATTGTGTGATATTAATATGGTATATGGATACAAAGAGAAATTCACTCTAGTGGACAAGGAAATAGTGTGTAGTTATGATCAGTGTCCGATAAATCGGTTTGATGGATTGAAGTTACTTTTCCTGATAAAGTCTATATATACATACAAGATTCTGGAAGACACATTTAAAGAATTAGGATATTTTGATTAAAATCCATCGATGGGTAGAGGACAGACATGACCACATAAGACACACCAAATCTATACTAAGGTAAGGAAACCAAATATCAGGAAAGTGCCAAATGACAATATGATTTACTCGAATTCTGACTGGTGCAGATATAATTATTACACCAATTAGCCAATAGAATTTATTCTTCCTTGAAATGTTACTTATTATTAATTTCTTCTGATAAAGACTAATGGGATGTTAGGTAGGAAGAATAATTGTGCACACAAAATAAAAATTTTGTCTACAGAAAAAATCTTTTATCATTGGCATGTCCAATAGCATGATTATTTGCTAAGAGAAATCAGTTAGATGAACTTATCCTTAGGTGAATTTTCTCCAGTGAAGTTGATGAGTATTACTGAAACCTGGACACACGTTTTTCGCATATCTTAAATAAACAATATGTATGTAGGTTGAGAAAAAGCTTTCTAACTGTGCCTGTTAAGGCAGGTGAATAAAAACAAAAAGCAATCTGGCTGCTTAAACTATAGTTTGTAGAGCAGCATATAAACTGGTGACCTAATAGTGGAAAATCAGATTTGTATCTGTAAGTCAACGGGGAAAATATCACCAATAAGTTGACTAAAAATATAAAATTCTGATGATGTACCATATAAAATATTAAACATCAACGAAATAAAGTAGAGAATAAATTGAAAGAATGGAATTATAGAGGAAATAAGATTCTTGAGAAGAATAAATGAAATATGGATGCATATTCATGAAAAGTGGCCTATTCTGTAACAAAATAGTGTAAGCGCCCTTAAATATTAATTCTTCCCGTAGTGCATTTTGTAAATAGAGAGGTTCTACATGTATAAATTTGCCCTGGGCACTTTTTACTTCTATTCCAAATTAGATTTAGTTATGAAACGACATCATTTTTATTTCTAGGTTAATCCTATAAAATGTCTATCAGTGCATAATAACTATACATGAAAACAGATTATAAGTAGTGTTTAAAGTTTGTTCAAGTTAATTTGCATTTCCCCTTGATTGACTAAGTTGAATGGTAATACTCGGTTTCCACTGGTATGTCAGCTCCCAGCATGGACACTTCGACGATGTTTGGAGATTTACATGACGTTATTTAGTTGATGATGACTAGTAGTGAAATCCAATATATGCATTTCGTCCCATTTAGGACTCGTCGGCTGGTAATGAATATCCAGGTTTTCACAACCAGCTACAATCAACCAAATGTCATGTTAAATTTCAGACATCGTCAAAGTGTCCGTGCTGGAAGCTGACATGTCAATCCAATATAGTCAATTAACAGGGAATGTAAATTAACTTAAACAAATAGTGAGTGATTTCTGTTGAACAGGAGGTGACTCCCGTAGCTCTTTGGCCTAGTGGAAACGTTTTGGCATTTGAAACGATAGGTGCTAGTTTCTAGTCTAATTTAGTAAACCGTCAGCCGCTGGAGATGCAACTGATGATTCAAGAATAGGAAGAAACGTGTATCATGGGTTCCACTGCAAGTTACTATCAGCTAAATAACACGTCATTGTTGTTCTTTTGGGTTCCGAGTGCAACCTAGGGCTTCAACACCACATCTTCGCTTTCTCCTATTCTCTGCGGTCCTCTTTAGCTGGCCTCACGATTGCCCATAGTGTCTCACATCCTCCTCACACGATCTACTCCATGTCACCCTCGGATACAAGTCCAACTTGTCGCTTCCGACTGGAATTTCACTCGAGGGCCTGGTGCTCGATGTCATTCGACGACCTCTTCGGCCTATGCCCAGTCCATCTCCATTTTCTTTTATATATTTTTTGGGGGGAAATTGGTTCTTGGTTGGTGCGTTCCCAAAATTTCTTATTTCGTATTCCTTCATAGCGCCTAAAAACGTTGAAAAAACCAATATATTCAGATAATTCGCCCCAATTAAAATTATATTTATGAAATATTTTGCTCCGGAAAGTAATGTGCAGAAAGTTTCGTTCTTGTCAGAATCCATCCGTGAAGTGTTTTGATAATTCCTCCATCACAGTAAATTTTACAAAATGATAAGCAATTATAAACTACTGAATGATCATCAAATCAAATCAGAAATACTACCAATACGTAATCAAGATTTCACCACTCCGAAACCATTCTTCTGCATTCCTGAGTGGTCTTGATTAAAGATAGAGTGAACTGCTCCGTACAGTATTATTCTACTATTAAGATAAATAACAATTTTAAAACATCAGAAAAGTCATAGTGTGACCACTTCTGATTGGGATTCCATATAGAAGCTAGTTACTAATAACCAGCAGTATAATTTCCAAATATCAAACAGGTATAGATCTGAATAATTTCAGATAGGATTGTGTCACTTTTAAATGGAGTTCTGAAGAGTAATCATGAATAGTAGGTCACACAATGTCTATCTAGTATGAGGAAAGTTACTTATCCATGATATTGATCAACTATGGAGCTAAAATGAAAACTGGGAGAAGTTAAAGTTCCTAGTCAACTGGTTCAGTGGTAATGCACTCATCTCATAAACTTTAGGTCCTAGTTTCGGCCCCTGGATAGATCATGGGTGATAGCTGCCAGAGTTCTAGAATAGAGAGCAACACAAGTCCAGTTCCTCCTAATTTTTAATGATTCTCCAGGCGATTTCAGTTCACAAAGAGATACATTATGAAATCAATATAACCTACATAAATCCAATATCCTATAATATAACACTATATTTCTAAAAGCAAGTATTTATCACTGAACTTCCTAGAGTATTACATATTCTTAGCTAGTAACGACAGAATAAATAAATTCACAAATCTAGCTATGCAACAAAAAATTGGATTTAAAAAATGAGTTATGTATACAGTGAAATACATCGGTAAGAACAATACATTGTCTGATTCAGAAAGTACAACAACAATAAAAACATCCATTAAAATGAGCTACATATTTTCTCCATCCTTCCAAGATGTTCATTTGTCGGCTATCAGATTGTTTACATTGAATATCAAGTTTAGTTATGGTATGATCTCCAGAAATGAATCAATTTCATAGTGACGCTTCAAACTTTTCTTTATCATCAATCACCACATAATTGCTCCAGACAACTTCTCTTTCCCAAGTAACATGTTACAGAGATACTGGTATAATTTATGTTGTAAACATAATTTGACTGTCAGTAAAAAAGAAAGACTGATTTTAAGTACACTGAAGCATGAAATATTCAAATAACCTGAACGAGTGAATAATGGTTTTAGAGTAACAGAGATATATAGTTGAGATTAGATGGTTGGAGGCAATCGTTAGGATGGATTAGGCACATTACACTATACTAACCACTGTCCAATCAGAGATACACAGATCAATAAGTTATGCCTCGTTTGTTGTATACAGAATACACAACGCAATGAATGGAGATATTTACACAACATGAGAATAGGTTTTTCGCTACAGGCAATTGTGGAATTGTTTTAAAAGCTCACAAATTACTGAAGTAAATAATTCCAATGAATAACTGAGAACTAAATTGAAGCAAACCAAGTATGAGAGAGTGTACCAGTGGTTCATTCATAGAATGCTCGTCAGCTACACGGAAGGGTCGGTTCGATTCCTCACCGATACAGTCCTAAAACGTCGGCTAGTCCACTAGCCTATAGTAAGCTTGGGAAAGGCGGGAGGTTAATCGTGAAGCAAGCAACACCAGCGTTGCTGGAACTTCGAAGGTTGATACCCTATGTTCTACTTAGAACGCTAGAAATGAATAAAGAGTATAAAATAGAGAACGTAGCTTGACTAGTAGGTATATAATATATTTGTATGTATAATTGAGTGAATTTTTGATGTGGAATATACTGATTTTCTTATAAAAGTGGCTATAAATGCCAACTGTAGAAGTAATCATATACACTATTGCTTTTTTTTTAATGCTACAGTAAAGTCTACAAAGTGTCCAAAAATAGTGTTAACATGTACAGTTATTCAGAAACCCTAATCGACTTATATGCATATTTTAATATTAGCCAATAAGCGGTATTCCGAAATCGCTGGTTTCTATATTACAATGGGAAACATAGTAATGATGACCAGTGCGTAGGTGTTGCAGACATCAACAGAATAAACAGATGTACTGATAATCAATAATAAGTAGTATGTATACCCAACATGCGCACACATGTACATATATATACCTTGTACAATAACTGTCGGATAGTAAATAACATTTTGTACAATTATTCAGCAAAAGAATATGTTTTTTCTGTTCAACTTTGTTTTTTGAACTAGAATTTAGACACTAACAATCATGACATTATCAACTATAGAAGTTATTATTTCGGAGATACAAAATACTCTTTAACCATTAGGAATCAACAAAACTGGAATTTACATCAATTGTAGGCTTCCTGATAAACTGATAGGTACTTGCTATACATGATAAATAGTGACACAGTAAAACAGTGTAATTTACTGGATGACGTTTCGAATAAAATTTATTGTCCATAATCATATCAATTATAATCACACGACTTCGAAACTTGAGTTTTATAGTTTTTTTTTGTTCTCTCCTATTTGTCGTCGTTGGGGTAGTAGAATTTTCCAGATATCTGGGACAGGTGTCAAATCATTCCTATTAAAGCAGCTTTCAAAAAGTCGAAAAATACTAAAATCAAAAAGTTAGATAAATTATTAGAGGAGAAATCTTTATCAGAAAACGATGAAATCAACAATCTAAAGTCAACAGCGATCGATAAATCAAGGTGAGTTATCAATCTCTCAACACATATATTAAGTCCTACAAAAATAACCGTATTAGAAAAGGGACTAAATATCAGTGTAGTGGTAGACAAGCTCAAACCTGAGGATATCATCCCTAAAATAAAAATTGCACTAAGTGGGATAGGCAAAACAACGGCTGACGAAGTACGGGCACAATGTGCACTAACATTAAAACGACAAAAACGAGGAAAGCCTAACCTGACAAAACCAGAGATGGAAGCCCTAAAACACCTTATAAATGTCGAGGATATAGTAATCACAAAGTCAGACAAACGAAATGCAACAGTAATATTAGACAAATCAAACTATTTGGAAAAGGTGAATACTCCCATAAAA